CTTGCATTCTGTGATGTCGTGGTATTTCACCGGACGAGCCGACCCATTCGTGCGAAGATAATAAAGCGGACTCTACCACTGTTGAGCTCGCTTATAGATTTAGTTATTATGGAAACCAATGTCTAAGTAAGTGTTTTTCTTTCCCAGGCAACAGGAACATAACGGACAATAGTGTGACTAACGAGAGGCACGGGGGGGACATGGACGCGGTGTGAGGCATGCCCTCACTTATTACGTAGACGTAGTGCGGCCTCAGCCGGCTCGCAGCAGCCGCGGCAACACGCGGAGTGGTATAGTGCTGTACAAACTTTATGGCGGCTCGGAATTTCTGACGAGCAACGGTGCAGAACACGATTTGAGTTATCAGCGAGGTAAAAGACTGCAGGGTATTCCAAACGCCTGCGTAATAATCCACTTACCGCTAATTCCGAGCCGCTATAAAGTTTGAATGTTGTAATACTTAATAAGTCTGATACCAGTTAAAGCCAGTTTAAATACCCTTAGGAGCTAATACTTACAGTACGAATTTCATTGAATAAGATGTCAGTGGGAATTAACTAGAGTGCTAGGCTTACGGACTAATTCATCATATTTGCATCGGCCTAAAAGCCCCAATAAATACAAATAGTTAGTTTCTAACCGAAAGTCACATGAAGTCAAAAATTTGACTCTTAAATATTGTAGATGTGTAGACGTATAACAAAACCGATGCACTTTTTTCGAATTTTGTAGATAAATAATTCTATAGTTTTTAATGAACACTTACATTATAAAATTTGAGCACCAAATTGTACTTAATGTTTAGTTAGAATGTTACGATAGGGCAGTAGTTAGCACAATGTTCGTACTCAGAGCCCTCTCGACGTCTCCGCGCACACGACTTGGATGAAATGACTAACACTTTCATCGGACTGATCTTATTTTTTTTTTAATTAATTAACTCGAATAGTTTAAGACTTTAGTAATTTTATTTCACGAAATGTGTTTTAACGCTTATGCAATATTTATTATTAAGTTATGAAATATGAAGAATTAGTGCAATAATGTTATTGAAAATTGTGTGAAATTTATGTTTATGTGTTTTTTTGTTTTGTTTTTTTTTTATATGTAAAAATTATCGTGAAATCACAAATATCATGGATATAATTCGGACTCGTCTAGAATGTTAAAATACTTTTTTCAGTATTATGTCTATATAAGATTTTAGAATATTTTTTTTATTTTCGAACATTTTACATTGAAAATTAGGTGATTTTATAGACTGTTGATAAAAAAGTAATTTATTGTTATTTTTAAATTATTTCCAAAATATTTCCAAGAATTTATTTGTAGGGATGTTTCGTGGGCGGCGCGCTCGCTGTGTCTGTAGACGTCCTGCTTAGCTTTAAATAGTTTAAATTTGGTTTCTAGATTACTTCGACTCCATTAAGTCCTATCGCCTATGTATATTGTAGTTCGTTATTTCATGTTTCATTGTTTATCCATGTGGTAAAATCATTATTGTTTTTCAACATAGAATGTCTTTTAGTATGTAAAAATGTACGTTTTATTTGATTCCAAAGATATCTCAGAATTATACTCAAGTATGCAAATTAGCTGCTCATTGCGAGAATGTTTGGAATATTTTGTGGTCTAAATTGTGTGTCGAATTGGCATTATGTTATGTTACGTACTTATTTATATGACTAAAGGCCGCATACTGAAACGACATTTCAATTTGTAACAGCTAAAGACATTTAAAAATATATAGACGGGGCATAGTGAACAAAAATGTTTCACCGGTACTTTAAAAGGTACTAAAAAAAGTTTAGTGCCCCCTCGTGTCTTTGTATTGACATGAAATAAAACATTTTACAAAATTATAATGAGCTTCATCTTTTGCTGTAAAAAAACTGAACAGTGTTACAAAATAAAATACAAACTTTTAAATATTTAAGAATCTATCAATAAATAGCTTTAGTGAGATTATATAAAAAAATGTTTAAATTGGAGTGTTAACGATGCCTCCTCTAAATATATGTTTAATCTCTTTGGTAACATCTTATGATAAAACAAAACTATGCTATAATTTTGACGTATGTCAAGATTTTAATCGTCGTTTCAGTATTCGGCCGTAAACTTTTCAAATACGTAGACTTAACTTTAATCTGTCAATTATTTTCTTAAATTAGACATAAACAATCTCTATATGACTTTTGTTCCATTAAAATTAGCGCTGTTATTTGTTTTAACAAAAGTAAATTAACTTTTTAATTTAATTGTTAAGTAACAGTCTTATTCATGTACAAGACAGTAACTAAAATTGTTTGAGGGAATTTAGCAAATTTACAAAAAAATCGAAATTCCTATTGCCATAAAAAATTGTAAAAAAAATAATTAAAAACCGGATGACTAATTTTTTAAAGTGTCAAAAATTGTTTTTATTTCCATTATTTCATAGTTTAGCCGACTATACGTAAACTTCAAATAATTGCCAATTAGATGAATTACTGTCGAGATTTATGTATTTGGAGATGTAGTCAAATTTACGCATTCTATGTATTACTTGTAGCTATCGATTGTTAAAACTACTACTGAATTGTAGTTAAACTACTAATTTGTTGTAGATCAACTTTTTGCGAACATTAAAGATGATTTAAAACTATGCGTGTTGTTTCATTTGTTTTTAAAATAATAATTTAATAAATGAACGTGATTTCCGTTTCCTTAAAATTGTCTCATATTTGTAGTTTTTTTAGTTGAATAAGCGATAAATAACACAATTTGTCAATTCTAATATAAAGAGGTTTGATAAAGAATTGTTGTAGAAACTGATGAACAGATTTCAAAAATTCTTTCGCCATTAACAATATGAATGAAGTAGTATATTTTAGATGAATGGGAAGAGTAAAAATTTTACTAAAGATATATTTTCTATGCAGTCCAGGAAAATACGGTGCGGATCGCTAGTTTAAAATAAAACTACAATATCACTAGATCATTTTATTAAATTAGAAAACTCATTAATTACATAAATTATGTGCGTTTTAATGAATAGTGTAAAGAAATTGCTGCCAATGGTAAGTCTATCAAATAACAAAAATAAATGGTTCGGTTCAAATGGACATTAAGTACAACTATTGCCAAACGAAATAAAAACAAACAAAAAAAAATAGCTGTCCTATAAAATTGTATAACGCTAAAATATCTATAAATGCAATTCTAAATGAGTATATAATAGAAAAAAATACATCCAAATGAAAAGTTACATTATCGTATATAGGTCATTTCGTTCATATCTTATAATTAACACAATTTGTTAATACTTAAACCTATGGTAATAGACAAGTACAAAATGATACTCCATTCTTAAAAAATATCTATTCGTAGCCTAAAACTAAAGTCGCTTGTATATTACAACATTCATTGTAATTAGGGTTGGGACATCGACATAACATTATCGATATTATCAAATAGCATTTAAAATGATTCATTTTAAAACTCCAAACATCGACATCATTTTAAACCATTCATTCTTTATACTTAATCAAATATTAGGAAATTCAATTTTTAATAAATTATCATACTTTTATCGATGTAATAATTGATATCGATATAATTATCGATAATTTATGTCGATTTGCGTTTTTATAATTAATTGTAGTTCACACGAACGTATACGTCAAAATAACCCATACATTGTATCTGGGGGTGTGGACTTCATACACACACACTACATACACCGTTGGAAGAACTACGCTAAAGGCTAAAATGTTACAATTTTCGATATGTTTTAATTTTTAACGTTAGTAGATAACAATGTTTTCAAACAATGGCACACGATTAGCCAATATCTAGTGAATAGGGGTCATGGTAAGAAAATTTGCCAGAAAGTATAAATAACATCGAAAAAATTTGTATGAGATTTTGTTCCTTTACTTTGCATTCTAAATAGATGCACGACTCATACAAATTTTGATATTACGAATGCTTTCTCGCAAATTTTCGTGTTACCTTCTAATTTGGTCTGCCAAATGGTTATATTAGTCACGAAAAACGTGTTTAAAATCTTCATATAGATCGGCCCTTACAAGCATTCAGAATCTACAAATAGACATGTAAAAAAATTATAAGTGCACTCCGTAAATAGAGTATATAAGATAAAGAAAAAACAAAGTTCCGTTTGTTTGTAAGAGTCTATCTATATAAATATTTGGTACATACTGAGACGGTCCGGCGGACTCCTAGCTGCTATATAACTCTACTTCAACAATAACTAGTATAATTATAATTCATTGTGAAGTATCAGTTCTTCAATAATATTAAAACGCGACAAATCTGACAAACTACGTCGCGATATAACTTACGTTGTATAAGAAATTCGTAGTCACATAATTGTGCACAATTCCTTCACGATATGAGGTTACCTTAATTCATTATTTAATAAATGCATTCGTAGCTTTACTTTCAATTTCATAAGAATAAATGTCGATTTACGAATAAAAATTCATCAAGCTCAAACGACTTTACATTAAATAAATCGTTTTTATTATTATCAGAGCTTGAGCCAAATTGATTTTGGATTTAAATAAATAGAATCGTATTTAGCTGAATACCGACTAGTGAAGCTGTCTGCGCGGAGAGTGAAGCGAGTGCGGGGCGTGGGGCGCGGGGCGCGGGGCGTGGGGCGGGTTAG